TAATTATTATTATTAATTTATGGTATGTACCATAGGAGAATATATAGTATGTTGGAGGATTTAAAAGAGTAAAAAAGTGTTAACGGGTGCCTGTCGGGGCCTAATCATTAAAACGAATTACTTTCAACTTGTGTGTTGTAAGAGTTGTAAAACTAGCTCCTTTTGCTAAGGAAAATAGTTTAATTTCAGTTGCCAATACTTAAGAACAAGAAGTGCCAAAGCGACTTTAGATTTCTTAATCAAATTGCATAATAACGCGGTGTGTAATACGTCTAGGTAACTTTATACTAGCTAATGACCATATGTTATAAACGACTGTTCCAAAGTTTCGGTAAAGACAAGGTGACAAATTTATCTCCATTGAAGCATCTTATTATATTAACTGTGTTGCTCCATCCACATTATCTGTATGCTTACCGTTCTCGTGTATTAAAAATCGCTTTTTATGAGAATGAACTCAGTATGAATAGGCTGTCGGGCATGCCCTTCTTTTTAACTGCATCTTTTGACAGTATCGTCGCAATGTCTTGATTACGAATGTTTGCCAGCTAAGATTTTTGGCCAGCCGGCAATTACTTCACGCGTTCGAATTACAGTTTCACATTAAAGCGCAATATTCAGACAATCTTTTTATTGTACATACATACGCTCACCATGAAATAATTACAGGCCTCTACAATTTAAAGAAAAATTGCGTATGTTAGCCTAATTTTAGTGTTGGTTGGTTTTGTTGACATTTTGGGTAATTTTCAGGTTTGTTTTCATTGCCTAATTTCGGTAGCAAGTTTTATTATATAAATATTCAACAATATTTTCATGAAGTATAGAAAATAAGTACGCATTTGACCTCTATTTCATCTGATGGAAAGTGACGATGAATTCGACGATGGAACTTGCACACCCAAATAATGCCTATTCACTCTCGCCTTGAAAATATTTTACGGTAATCCGTTGTTTCTACTTTAACTTTTAAATTAATAAGTACCGAATGTAACGGCTTGTCTGAAAATTTATTCTCCAATTTAGTACTAGGTAAAACGGAAAATCACTTCCATTGCATCATTTGCTGCGTACCTCCTACATCGGCTTGTTTTCGTCGTACCTTGGACACTGATAGCTAGTTAACTATACTAAAGTATTCCGATTATTGATCGCCGCAAAATATTCACCAAAATTGTAAACCTAAATTTTAAACAAAGATAACATTATAACGTCTGATTATAAATTGTATGTAATATTAATTGAATCCTTGAGAAATTACACTTATGATGGCCGTTATTTGTTAGTATCATATTTGTTCTACACTAGAATTACTGATTTAAAAAAATTAGTAGGCTATTTATTTAAACTAACTAACAACGTTCCAAGTATGGAAAATAGATTTGACCTAGGCAACGATTTTAATATCGGGTTTTTACGGTTGCATTCGGGTGGAAATTGTGTAAATTTGTGTTTTCAAACAAACCAACGTTTCAGACTCTTTAGAGGATTTTAATAATGCAAAGGGCAACGGCAAATAAAAGTCGAAACAACCTTATTCAAGGCATGCTGTCAAACTTTCTACACGAGCAGCCTGTGGGGCAAGTGTACTAGCAGATCACTGGATGCCCTACGAATACAATATAATAATGGGTTTAGGATGCTGCTGGGGTTGCCCCGACTATGCAGCACATCAGTATGTTTGCCGAGGCGCTTGATTATTTCTAGTTGATAGTTTCCAGACTATCCAGCGCAAGCAGGTAGCTTCGGTGATGCAGCGCGTGCGGGATAGCACCAGCGGTCTCCTGAACACCATTATGTAGCGGGTAGATTGCCCGACAGTAAGGCACTGGAATACTGTACCTTCGTTCCAGAGTAGCCTTATACAAACTTTTTTCTTGTTCTTCATACAAACTCTCATTACCTTTAAGAGCGGTTACACATGGCGACTTTTAGCAGCGATGCAAACGCGATACAAACGCGATACAGTCGCTAATCGTCTATACACGCGCGCGATTTTAAGCCGCGATACAAGCGCACGAGTGCATCGATACAAACGCGCGATTGCATCGCTACACTTTGGATCTAAAGGCGATTGCATCGATGCAATCGCAAGTGAACGCGAAGACGTTTCACGAACGCGCGCTGCTAAAAGTCTCTCTAAGATTTATTTTTGTGACAAAAAGTAGCCTATATCCTCCTTTAAGGGTCCATCATTACTTTTTTTATAGTATCAAGTGACGGGACAAACAAGTCGTGCGCCTGATGGTAAGCTACACGCCTGTCCATAAAAGTTACAGTGCCACCCAGAGCTTTAAATCACAAAGATCTGAGGGGCACTGCCACTGCGCCCGTCACCCTGAGACATAAGTTGACACGTCTCATGCGCCTGTAACTTCACCATCCATCCCTATTCCAAAATTTGTCAATATTGGTTTAGCTGTTAATCGTAAAAACGTAACAGACAGAGTTACTTTCGCATTTATAATATTGGTTTGGTGGGATTAAATATGATTAATCAAATTTCATTGTTACTAACATAGTTAATAAGACTATTGTTACTAACAAAATGTCAACTAAAAGGAAGTTTTAAATAGTCAGTTTGAAATAAAAGATTGCCTATTATTATATTATCATCCGAATACACAGAGAATTTAAAAACAAACGTACCTACATACAAGTCATACAACTATTCCGTGATATAAGCTATTTCAAGTTATAACATAAGAGATCATCTGAAAATAATTGTCAATGTGATTTGATGTATTACATAAACTTGTTATGTATGTTTGGTGTCGACTTCATTATACCAACTTACACATTCTAGTCATCGGTTAAAAGTTATCTTCTAACTTTTTAAGCTTGATAATTCATAAGCCCGAAAATAGGAAGTCAGGATAAGTGCTTTAATTTGAACAACACGAATTCTACCACCCGGTAGTTGAAAAGTTCATCTAAATTAAGGTTAAACAATACGCTTATTTAAGGTCTAAGATTAATTGACGTGTTTAATATTTATAATGGTAGAGTATATAATTTAGCTAGTAAATATTTATCGACCTCGCATCTTCATAAACACGAGTTGAAATTAGTAGGCACAACTATATTTTCAATGATCAAGGTAAATGGTTACTTCATTGATAGTATACAGGGCTGGGCAGTATTTTAATGTATTTTTATTTCAATTGCTACCTAAAAATGTATTTTGTAATTGGTATTTTCAAATACCTGACAGTAATGTATTTTGTAATTGATATGTCCGGTTAGCGGTAATCATTGCATTTGGTAATTCATATTTTTACTACATGAGGTTAAAATACCGTATTATGTATTTTATGCATTTTAATGCACCTCTTGAAAATATATTGTATTTCGTACTTTAAATATGCATTTCAAATAATTTTGTAATTTATATTATAATGAAGACAAGAAAGCATTTATTTTGACCACTCTTGATTGTAAGCAACTTGCGAGTTATGAACTTATTATATATGATAATCGGAAGACACCAAAGTGTCAAAATATTACTACAACTCTCTGAATTTGATGACCCGATTTAACCAATTTACATATATAGGTATTTGAACGGTTTAAAATACATGTAATAAAAAATAAGGGTCGTATTCCAGAACTATACTCAATGCTCAAGTCAGGAATTGAGCAGACTTGAGTACGATTTCAAGCACTGAAAATACGACCCTAATGGCAAGGACTTGAGAATGATTTTCAGTGCTCACTGCAATACTCAACTCCTGACTTGAGCATTGAGTAGAGTTCTGGAATACGACCCTAATACTTCAAAGGGTACAACTACTCACATGAAAGACATGTGCTACCAGTAAAGTACGCATATTGGTTATGTAGAATGCCTAGGCGTGTAAGGTATCACTTTTTAAGTATCTAGCGAAAAATCTTTTACTATTACATAATTTCTCTAGGCATTAATTATATAGAATGTCAAACGTACCCAAAGACGACAATGTGCCAGCATTTTTTCAAGGATAAGCGTAGTAGTTAGATAAACTAAAATTAATAGTTATATAAAGTTCATTTTAAATATTGCCCAAGCATTTTAACATACATAGGTACATATGTACAATACTTTTAAAAGATCTGCAAATTTAGATCAAAATCGCGATCGTTATACATTTGGTTACAGAACTGGGGCGCTTTAATTTATGCTTTTTTTTTCTTACATGTTTTACGATGCTTAAAACATCACCTTTACGATATGTGACCTTAGGAAGGGAAAAACCACATTTTGTCGCATTAAGTTGCACAAATGCGTTATTCGAACAATAGAAATATTATAGTTGCCGAAGATTACCTTCTCGTAAAAATGGTATTTAGCTACGATGCCAACCATTGTGGCCCATTAGTTGCCTAACTTTAAATCCTACGAATAATCGCGGTCTTCATTACAGAATGTACCTTCGTATAATATAATAGATAGATTAGCCCTTCAATAGCTCCAACTCGACTTCAATTATTGCGTCAAGTCGAACCAAAGGATAGAAAAAGTAAAAGTAGGTACTTAACACGAACAGAAACTAATTTCAAGTTACAATTAAAATTTCATAAATTTGTGAGAGACAAAAATGTATCCAACTTCATATTCGTCCATAAAATGACATTCGCTTTACACGCGATAGAAATTGAGTAAATTTCACTAAGAAAGAAAACGTAGGTATCTTTATCAAACAACAGATCTCAGTATTTCAGATGAAACACCATCCACTTTTGTATCCGAGTATTGCATGTTTTAATACAAGAAATATATGATTTCGGCGTTGAGATTTACTGCTACCGTAAAATTTCATGAAAGTAAAGCAATGTGGTATATTTTATAATACAGGCGATATGAAACCGCGGGAAGAAAAACGTTTCTCAAAGTCTGCCACTCACCTGAAACATATCTGGATCTATTTTGGCAAGTGTGAAGATACGACGTTCGCTGCACCGGCCGGGACAATGCATTGCGTCATGCCAGCCGCGGAACAGCTTCCGCTCGCCTCTTCACGGCCCTCGGTACCTGAGTGGGAGATGCCACTTCACATATATAACGCCAAACCACCGACCCCTCAGCAAGCAGTTACCACAGCTTCAACATGAAGGTAACTAACAAACTCACATTCACAAATTTACACGCATACCTAGATCACAGTTGAACGTGTAGATAGTCATAAATCAATCATCTCGATTGCTAAATTATTCATTTTAATTATTAATTTTCTTCTATGTTTCTACTATATCCATATTTGAATTATTCACCTGTTTTCCAATTTAAAAAATATATTATATCTTTTACATGAAATATGACATATATTACATATCCTATCTTTTGTGTGAAAGTCCTAATTTTCTTCTTTGCCAGGTATTCGTGTGTCTGTTAGCAATGGCCGTAGTCACAAGAGCCGGATTTCTCGGCGGTGGCGGAGGCGGCGGCTGGTCCGGCGGTGGCGGTGGTGGTTACGGCGGTGGCGGCGGCGGTTACGGCGGCGGCGGCGGCGGTTGGAAAATCAGCAGCGGCGGAGGCGGTGGTGGCTGGAAAAGCGGAGGAGGCGGTGGTGGCTGGAAAAGCGGAGGAGGCGGTGGATGGTCCGGCGGCGGCGGTGGATGGTCCAGCGGCGGAGGCGGCGGTGGCTGGAAAAGCGGAGGCGGTGGTGGCGGCTGGTCCGGCGGCGGTGGCGGCAGTGGTGGACGTAAGTTCACAAAACCATAATAAATATTTTTGTCATGGTGAGCATAGGTTGGATAGGATTTCATTTGTGTCTTATTTCTCTCGTTTGGCATAACGTTGGTGTGGTACATTTTTGAGAACTCAATGCAGCTAGATTTCCAGTAATATTATATTAAGAAAGTCATGATTCCTTATGAACTATTACTTTTCTAATTTTTCAGAAGTGAAAATAATCAAAATCATCACCACTGGCGGAGGCGGAGGCGGTATGTTCATATTATTTTCTTTACCTAAGTATTTGCTAGTTATTATTTTCATACAGTACCTACATATTATTTTGAACTTCAGTGAAATTGGGTGAAATTGACCGGACGGTTTACCTACCTACCTATCTAATCTCACCCTGAAATGCTTCCTACGTAACTTTTACTACACACACGTAACAGTTACATTTCATTTAGCTCAACATGTATATCAACACTAACTATACAAGTACAATAATATATTAAGCCTATGATATTTACTGCATACCTAATATTAAAATATTATGAGAGCAACACATTTCAATGGCTGTAAATCACAACCCATCAGGTGAATAATAGAAAAATTCTTCCAAACATAAAAAAAATATGTATCTACTCAATACAGTGAACGATTTGAAAGTCTGAACAAAGACGGGCACGTTAACAAGGGTCAACTCGCGTCCAAAACGTCTAGTGCAAATGCAAATCCGCATTTCGTAACGTTTCTCTGTCCGTGCATTATGTGCCTCTGTAATAGCTAAATAAGACCTCTAAATGTAGAAATAATTAAGTCGCATGGTGCAAGAAGTGCGTAAGTTATAATGGACTTAAGCATTTCTTGTACCAAGTCACAATTATTTCAATGCGATGTGTTGGTATACGCCCCTAGTTCAAGGCTCACGCGTTGTAGTGGCGGCCAATTCAATAAGGCATTACTATAAAAATTTCCCCGCATAAACAATCGGGTAGAAACACTTCTACCTAATTAACAATGTGTTATTTTCGAATCAGTAGGTATTTAGTTATGTAAAATGTTAGGAAAATTCCTAAAGTTTCAGTTCTATTCGATTAGAAACAAGTTCAGTTCAATTAAGATGTTGTACAAGTTTGATTATAACTACATTCTAACTTACCTGAAAACAAACAATCACAGGCCATGGAGGCGGCGGCTACGGCGGCGGCGGCGGCGGCGGCCACGGCGGCGGCGGCGGCGGCTATGGAGGCGGTGGCTGGTCTAGCGGTGGCGGCGGCGGTGGCTGGAAACTGGGTGGAGGTAGCAGCGGTTGGTCCAGCGGCGGAGGCGGCGGTGGCTGGAAAAGCGGCGGCGGCGGTTCCTCTGGCTGGTGGTGATCTTAATTTATTGATGTGATATACCTAGTACAAATTTCGACAATACAGTGATACCTCCTACTTCATTATTTTTTATTCATCCCAACCATGTCCCGAAAAAAGAAAGAAAAAATTATAATATCGCACTGCTATTACGAGTGTTATAACTCAAAATATGTGATATTCAAGATTATATCATTATTGAACGTAAAATTTGATTCTCTACACGTCAATAAAAAAAACGTAGTTAGAATATTGTAAAAACAAATAAAAGATATCTACTTAACTCAAAATGAGACACGCTTTATGTGAGCTAGTTCGACCCAAAAATAGTCCTTATTAAAAAATGTGAAATTATTTTTTGTCTTTTATTTTAAAATATATTTGGCAAGTAGGAAAATAAACAGTCAACCGTGGCAATGGGACTTGTAAAAGGTCCGAAACGTTGGTTTGTTTGAAAAACAAATACACGCAATTTAAATCCGGAAAAATTTCCTATGTGTCACAATCGCGAAAACCTAAGAACTCGATAAGTAGGAAATTGTCTGTAATAAAGTATAACCTATACATCATACGTTTTAATTATCTTTTACGTGAAGCCAGTGACCAATTTTCCGTCGATTCTGAGAAAATACACTTTTTGAGTTACTACACTACTGTACCAACACAGTTAACAGTGAGATATATAGTAAAAAAAAATTCGACAATAATTAAACACTGACCGAAATAAATTTTAATTCAACAAGTCAAACAAGGGGAAAAAAGAGAAGTGGTTTTAAATCTTTTATTTTATAAAGTTCTTCCTTAACATTTCTAACGGAATGCATATTACTTCCTCAATCACATAAAATCTAAATACTTTACTATTTTATTTTTTATATCATACTAAGTAAATGTATTTATACAATTTCAATATAAAAATTATACAATTATAAGCAATTATGCTTAAAACAAAAATATTATGATAAATAGAGAGCTAGTTATAATTAGTAGTAAAATTGTGACAAAATCAATTATCGTACAAAACTATTCAATCAGGATTTCTAAACACAGACAAGTTCACAGAACATTCGATTTTAATTTAAAACTATGTGGATGTTTCCTTAGCTTTTTTTTGACAATGTCTTTTTTCTCAAGTTTCAATCTCTTCTGCCTGTTCGGATCGAAATTCTCCTTCTCTGATGAGTTGGAGCTACTAGGTGAAAGGCCACGTGTAGAATGCTTCGACCTCTGTTGAAGCTCCATTTCTCCAATTTCAGTTAAGACACCATAATCCCTAAAAATATCATGATTTAGTATAAAAACATACTTTTATCTAGAGACATGTTAATCCAGTTTTACTTATAACTTTAAAAGAAATAAAATAAAATCATTTTATTGCAGACTTAGGTCCTAAGTAATTAATACACAAAATAATAAAAAATCTTGAAGAAATAAGTGTCAGTACTTCACAAAAATGCAAATGTACAGGAGCAATCATATTCCATTGAGCAGTTCATTCTACATACATAATATTACACTCCACTTCCTTTTCCAATTTCTGTAAGCAGAAACAAGCCTTTCACTTGCGATGATAGATCCTGACACACATCTTTTGCCTCATCAAGACGCAACAGCGGTTTCATACATGCTTGTTGGTTAAGGTATTCTTGACCTGGCCTTCCTTTAAGAAGTCCTCAATTTAGTAATTCTAAGCACACCTTAGTCATCTCTTACCAATTTGCACTCCATTTCTTCAAATAATTACAATTAATTAAATACTGAATATTAGGTACCAATTCAAAAGCAACATTCATTGTGACAACAACAGCCACTTTACTGGCTTCTTTCCAACCAATGTACTTATATTAAAATATTCATTATTTGAGATGTATACTATGAATAAATATCATTTAATTTTTTAAATTGTTTTACATTTAGTTACATTTATTTCGCATGGTGATGCTAAAATCAACTTACATCTCATCACTAGATCTATGAACATCAGCTGTCACTTGTATAACACTTGATTCATCAATGTCCTCATTGTCCGAATCCTCTATTATAATTTGCTTTGTTGCGTTAGTATTTTTCTTAACAGTTGTATTTTTTAGATTAGCTTTCTCTTTTGTATATGCTACATTTTCAAAATGAGTGTTTTTTTCAGAATTATTTTCAACAGTATACAAATCTTGACTATACGTAACAGACTTATCTGAGTCTTTCTTATATTTATTCTCAACATCTAACTGTACTTTATGGAAGTCAGGTACCCTCTCAATTTCTGTCTGAACAGAGGTAGATTGCTTTTCTAAAATTTTAGGTCTATCATTTACTGTAGTCACATTAATTGTAGTTATAAAACAATTGTTTTCAATTGTAATTTTTACATCTTCAGCCTGGCCTGCAGATTTCTTAACTGTTTTATTGTTATCAACATTATTACAAAGGTTGCAAGTTTCTATGAGGTAACTTTTCTTGAAAAATGGCACTTTATTAAATGAAGTTGTATTGTAAGTTGAGCTTGCAATAGATTCTGTAGTAATTCTCTCTATATCATCAGTATATTTTATAGCCTCACTACATTCTAACCCAATTGAAGGTATAGAAGTACAAGGATATTTTTTCTCTGCATTCACTACAGCCAACCATGCTTGGTGGTCTTTATCAACGATGTGACTCTGAGAGTCATCAATCACTATTGGTTCATCATTAGTTACAATATCACTTTCAACGTTATCATTCTTATTAAATCTGTCATATTGATCAAATTCCTTTTTTAACTTCTTAGGTGTCCAACCAAATGAGTCTGTGCCTCCTGCTTGGCTGTCAATCATAGATCGAGTACTTTTAGAATTAGACCGCTTCTTATTTAATTTTATGGTACTTTTTATATTCTCCAAAACTTTTTCATCAACTCTACTTTTAATAGGTGTTGCTTCTCTCTGAAGATTACATTGATTAACGTTAAGATCAGCAAATGGCTGTCGTGGCCTACTTTTAGCTATTTTTATATCATTTTCATCAAGCCAATTTGAAACATTATTCAAAGACTTCTTCATCTTTGATTTCTTGGTAGATGAAATCTGCTCACCAAGAAGAAATAATGTGTCGTTCTCCTTATCTTTCAATTGAGGCTTAACTGATTTCTTTCTATTAGAATAAGTCAGTGGAGCTTGAATACATTGTGGGAATAATTCTTTCTCTACTTTCAATTGTTCAGATATTCTGTGCCTTTTATAAACTGCAACAAAAGCAAACAACCGTAAATAAACTAGAAATGAACATACAAATGGCATTACAGTGATAATAAAAGTAAGAATATATTAACCATCCATTCCAAAAGAATCTTGACAAGCTTTGTACAATGCAGAGACGTTGTTCACCCTACATGTTAATGGACCATCGGGTTCTGTGTGGTTCGGATTACATGCCTCGGGAGGCGTGAGGCAGAGAAGACAGAGGCTAGCACCTTCCACGCATTCTTCGCATGCTGCGTGTCCACAACGGTACCTCCGACGAGACCCTTCCAACTTATCACTGAAATAAGTTTAAACTATTACTTTATTTTGATACGAACCGTCTATAAGTCAAACTTACGCTACGCACATTGACTACGCAATAAGTATTTGTTACACATACCAAATCACGCAACGACTATGGCCCAATAAAGTTTTAACACAATCAACGACTACATCTAAGTCATAAGATTTAGACATGACACTATTTTCATTGTTGTTTGGTAGTTATTGAGGATAATATCAAGTTTGAAACACGCAAGCAAAAACCGTATTTTTCGAAAACACTGCTTCATTCACAAGAGCATCTTCCTAATTTGTGACGTAGTCTATGATCCACAGACTACTATGAAATACTTTCTTCTTTTTTTATTAAGGCTTTGGCAAAGCCATCAGCCTAAACATGAAGTTTAAATATGTTTTCGTAAATAAGGCCGCCACAAAAAGGATAGGCAATTTGAGGCGGCGTGCTTGGATTGACTCGGGATTCCTTAAAACGGGCCGATACGGGTATTTTAGTTCGAGATTCGTATAATTTCGCGTTTTAATATTCGATTAAGGCACAATAGCACTATCCTATTCCACTTTAAACTAGATTTCACAAAATAATTGAAAGTCAAAATAAAAACAACACTTTTCCCTCCAAAAGGTCCAGAGCGAATCAGAGTACTATGATCCTATGAGATACAAGATACAAACACTTTTTCCATCCTCTGATACATACATTGATTTTTTTTTTTATTATACTGATGTTGGCAGCAAGGAGAATTAACGTACATTCAAAGGAAATTAATTAGAAGTGTCAAACGTCTGTCATTGTATTTTTTAGTTTTTATTTAATTGTATATGATTGTATGTGATTTTTCTTTTATTTTTTTCCATCCTCTAAGGATTACTAATTTTTAGGACACCAAACTTTAGAAAATATTAGGAAATAATTGTCATCTTAAAAAAGTAAAAAAATGGGATTTTATTTTTAATAATTTAATTTATAAAATTTTTTATTATCATTGTCACATTACATCTAAAATAAAACACAAAAAAAAATTCAATCAAAAACACTAATAATATAAGTAATGAAAACCAAATGGATTTTATTATTACTTTTTGCACTAGTGTGTTGTATTACTAAATCTTATGCACAGAAAAAAATGACAGTGATTTTTTTATCACCTGTATAAACAAGAGTACGGATTTTTTTTTTTTCATTTATTATCTTATACTATATTGAAGTGGTTGGTTGTCGGTTTGGTGTTCTCTCAATCAAAATTGTAGGTAAGCCCGTCTAACTGTTAACAGTTTTAATAATATCATTAGAGAGTAAAATAACATTCTACCTTAAAATTTTACAAGAGATTTTTTCAATAGTTTTTTTATTTACCGATATTTAGTCCAAATATACCGATTTTACTTGGTGACTATATCGATTTCGCATTTTGACTTTCAACACCACTGGTAGTCAGGGGTGCCAATTTGTGGGGAATTCCCCAAATTGCGGGGAATTTCAACTAGATTCGGGATTTTGTGGGGATTGGTGCTATGTGCGGAAAATGTGGGGATTCTAACATTTTATGATTTTGTTTAATCTATCGATTGCTTGCATCTATCGATGCATCGCTAGTTCGATCGTTATTGTTAGAAACACTGTGATGAACGTGTTTTTCAACATCCCACATCCCTCGCATTATTAACAAGCAGCCTAAATAGAATTATTATCATATCGTCTTGGTTCTGAATTGTAATAGGAAATAATTAAGTGCATATCAGAAAACACAATACATATAAAATTATGTTCATTATTCAAATAACTTGCGCATCTAAAAAATATTTCACTACAAACAGAACTAGTATCAAAAATAATTTAAAAACATGTATCAAAACTAGACCTCTGCTAATTTCTCAGTGTACAACGAAAGTGTTCATTTATTTACAAAAATATGGTCTACATAACAAAAATACTGATTGCACATCAATTTAAATTAACTCTAAACGAAATAACAATTCTTTTAACAAAATTACCGTAATTTTTGTCAAAAGTTGCTCCATAAATTATTTTCATTTATACAATGAATCACGTAGGTACAACAAATATTATATTTGGAGCTGGTTTTCTTGTAAGCAATTCATAACATTGGAACTAAATTAAACCTTTACTTGCAAATATAAAAAAATACTACGATTTTCAAGCATTAGACTTTGTTGCAATGTTTGTGTACAATTTTAATTTTTTTTTGTTGATCTTATTGTTTTGAACAAATTGTACACTTAGACCATTATGTCATATGAAATGGTGTTTAATTTCGATAGACTCGTGCACGACTCGTGTACCTTTCAGTGAAATAGGTATGTTTTTTCTTATAAATTTGTGGTCACACGTTTGTTGTATGCCAGGAATATTAGAAACCTATGTATTTAGATGTTAGATATGCATTGCGATAAAATGTTAAGCTTAAATTTTAATACTAATTTTAGTATTTAACCTGCCTGCGGCGCGTGGTCGGGTTCAGATTACGGGGTATGCTCATGTTCTTCGGTGGTACAGCGATTAGTACCATGGGTGCTTTATGAGGAGGTTCGATAGGGCCAATATAAGAAACGAACATTTCTAAGTTGGAAAATTCTGCAGAAGTTTGTTCGGATGTTTTTTCACCCCTAAATACTTCTCTTTGGCATAGCTTCCAAAAAAAAAGGAAACTGTGACGGTGTGACCTCCTTGCGTCGTCATCCCACCTTTTTGTGTCACTTCTCTCCATTCGTATCGTATCGTTTTTTTTCTTCGACTCGTATTTAAATTCAATATTTTGAATTGTTCCATTTTACCCCGCATTCTGAGTGTGTTCGCTTCGCCCTCCGCGGACCTCGGCCTACGGCCTCGGCACTTATGATTTTGTTTTAAAAAAATAAAATAGCTCTTTAATGGCGGCCATATTTAAAAATTGCAAAAATATACTTTGACCACTTATTATTATCGGACAATCCTAAAAACCTTGTCGTGCCAATTTTCAGCCCGAGCAAAGCAAGTTAGCTAAACATGTCAATTTTCAAAGAGATCAGACCAAACTTTTTTCTGCCGCCCAAAAACGCTTGTATGGCGGCCATATTGAAAACTAGCGAAAAACTGATATTGATCACAAATTATTATATATATATATATATCCCCACATGCCAATTTTCAAAGGGATAAGAGCATTTTTTTACCGTCAACGAACGCTTGTATGGCGGCCATATTTGAAAATGGCGAAAAACCAATTTCGAGTACAAATTCTTATCCGACATTTCTAGCGGCGGAGACCTGCCTATTTTCAGCCGAAACAAAGCAAGTCTCTTTCGGCAGCTATTTTAACCGAAAATAAACGCTTAAATGGCAGCCATATTAAAAAAATGCCGAAAAAAGTCTTTTGACCCCATATTATGATTAAGCACTCCTAAATACCCCTACATACCAAGTTTCAGCCGGATCGAAGCAAGTTTTTATTCGGTCGCCATTATCAATTCACCATCTTGAATTTTTTTGACACAGGCAGTTGACCACTGTTACCCTCTCTAATAGTTTCCGTTATAATTGAAATTTGTATGGCGGCAATCTTGTTTATTTGAATTTCGAACATTTTTTACATTCGGCGGAAATTGCCCAGGATGTACTTCACAAATATCCCCTCCATATATTATAGTTTTTGCAGGCTGTTGATCACAATTTCATATTTTCCACATTCAGGTTCCAAAATAAACAATCATATTTAATTGTTTATTTTGGAACCTTTTCGCGTACAACGGTATAAATATATTTTTTCCACCATATCGGGAAGTATGCGTTCTATTTCTATCAATGAGTCTAAACTTGTGGCTTTATATATATAATGCTAAATTAAATTTCTTTTGATCTGTGCAATCGGTACTTTTCTTGGGGAAGTGGCAAATTTGCTTGTGAAAAAACTTGTTTTTTTGGTAAGCGGTTAAATACTACCGTTGTAAAATTACCAGTCAGTGCGTGTCGAGTTCGCGATCCTTTCTCCCACTTAGGTCCGTCCCCGGTATGAAGAAAAACGAAATCGGCTACTGCTCGGCTTTGTTTATCAATAACAAAGCCGAGCAGTTGGTACTTCCACACGACAACTTACCACTCGGCACTCGTCAACTTTAAATATTAAATATAGGTCGGAACTTAATTTACTCATTGATTTTTTCTAACATTAACCATAGTGTCACCAAATGCGCACCAAAATAATGAAGTTACTTAATTATGTAAGACAAAGAAAAATGATTTTTTTCAAAGTTTGAGTAACCAAAGTTTGAATATTCTCATTAAAATAAATAAACGATTTAAGGTCATCTAATTGCATAATTTGCTTTACATTTTACATTCACATCAAACGTAACAGATGGTTACATTTTGAGTTTCTTAATTCTTTATTATAATTATTTTTAAGCGATGTATTTGTAATAAATAATGAAAACTCGAGATGTGGGGAAACTTTGTTCTCCCGAAATTTGGGGATTTTAACCGTAATTTTTGGGGATTTTGAACAATTGAAATGAAAGAAAAAAGGCGACGCTGCTGCTGGTAGTGGGTGTTCATTGTTCATTAGCTATATGCTCTAAGTTCATTAGTATGACTACAAATTAGAAAGATATAGTAGGAAGTATGACGATACGTGTTCATAAAACGATGTCCATTTATAAAAAAATACAAAAATAATTAGACTAGGTAGAAATAAAAAAGATAATTGATTTGTAGAAATAAAATTAAAATATATTTCAATTTATGGATGAAACCTACTTTACGAAAATACAGTAGCCAAAACATACATAACAATAAAATAATTAGAATTACCAGAAGTAGCCAAATATTCAATATTTTTCGGCAATTCAATAAAGAAATTAATAAATAATTAATTTTAGAGACACACTTTTATTGTCAGTTATAATTTCAAAATGTAAGAGTTTGTATAGGTTTCTTTGATTTTTTAAGAAATGCCCACAACTTCTGCCTTTTGGTACTGACTATGAAGACTATCAGATAGGTGCTCAATTCTTAAATTTTTGTTTCAGTTTCAGAATAACATTCATTTCAAGTTACAAAAATAGCTTTACCCAAAAATGGTCAATGGCCATTTTAAAACTGTGGACATTTTTTATATTTGACATAATCTATAAAACATTGTTTTCTCAAAAATTATTGCAAAATATAAACGTTCATTTAACAAAATAAATGTCTGGAAGAATGTACAATAATTTACGTTAGCAATGCATAACTCTAAAACTAGTTGTACCTATAATAACGTTCTAATTCTCATTTTAATGCACGTCTACGGAATGTAGAAAATATAGTTAGAAGTATAAATCGCCTGACAGTGTGAGCATAGTAGAATGAAACAAGTAGAGTAACTCTGTTGAAAATGAAATGTTCTTTTCGACATTTTTAAGTATACAGTTCTGTGACATCAAAACATTGAATAATCTTTTGGTCATAAGGTTTTTTTTGTGTTTATATCATAAAAATACGAGTTCGTACATTTCAAATGTATGAAAATGAAATTTGTTTTCCTCATAACTTTTTTTGGTCTTGCATGGTAAGGCTGAAATTTTTAGGTGTTGTTACAGAGTGTGTGACAAAGCCGTATGGACAGAGGTCAAAGATATGGACTCGTTGTCTATCAGTTAACAATACTAAACTGCTAAACTAATTCCCGAGGCACATTAACCCTTGACAATATCAATGTGCATTTTGAATAAATTTATATCTTGTGAATGGGATCATTTGGGGTTGAGGTCAAATATCATATATATAAAGTCGTTGTCTTTCAGGTAACAATATTGGCTAAACCAGCTTTTTACAAACTGATTGTCGAGGCACATATGCATTTTTAATTAATTTATACCTTTCGAACGGATTCGTTTGGAGCCAAGGTCAAAGCTCATATGGAATCGTTGTTTATCTGGTAACAATATTGGCTAAACCAACTTTTCACAAACAAACAAATTTATATCTTTCGAACGCTAACGGTCTTTGTCACAGATACTGTAATAACAACTAAAAGTTTCAGCCTTACCGTGCAAGATCAAAAAAGTTATGAAGAATACAAATTTCATTTTCATGCACTTGAAATGTACGAACACGTACTCTTATGACGTTAACACGAAAAAAAACTTGTAACTAAAAGGTTATTCAATGTTTTTGATGTCTTTGACAGAACTGTATACTTAAAACTGTCGAAATTTACATGTCATTTTTCGAAAAAGCCTATAAAAGGCAAGCTCGTTTTTGCACCCACTGTGCGCCGCGCGCCGTTTACGAATGCACGCATTCCCATAATAATGAAAGATGCGTTGAGGCGACCAATGCTAAGATAAGCAACGCTATGTAGTGCATCACTAGATTATGTAAATGTGTACGTCCGTACACGGCGCATGACGGGCGCGCACACGTACAAGCCGCGCTGCGACGTTTGTATGGAGTTACCATTCTTGTTGTTATGCCTTTATGGTGCGAGGGTAATTATTTATACAGAGACGAATGGGACGTAGTTATGTGAAGGACTGAGAACAGCTTAAGGCACTATAAGTACTACTGATGCACATACACTTCCCATATACATGTTCAGCGAAAAGGTTCTTAAAGTTTTATTGGTAACAATCATTTAAGTCGACCGCAATATTTAGTAAGTAACCTTTTAGAAATATGGAAGAAGAGCCTTACAGCAAAATAGGAAATGTGGAAATTTAGTTTAAAACCTCGACAAATTACTTTCAGAACCTTGACGCCTGACATTGTACAGCTTAGATTCTCGCCATCTGGATGCCTACCATGAGTTTATAGTAACAGTTGTCGCTAGCGAGCGCAAATACTAAATTTTACTTCTTTATTTAATTTATATTTTTGTTAACTTGTTTGGTAAATTGATAAGGCAAATGTAAAAGGGAAATAGTTTTAAACCTCTATATAGTTCAAATGAAAATCAAAACAAATCAACAATTACTTTAAAAACATGGAATTTTGTAAAATCCGAAGATCGCCGAGAGAGATTAAGAAAACAGTAAAGTTGTACTATATGAAGTATTTTTCGCTGTCAGCGTCAACGGTCACGGTAAACTCGTGGCAGAAGCATTGTCCACGTATAATTTTGTCCCACAAGTAAAACAATAACTGTAACAGGTATTAAAAATATTTTAAAAACATTACAGCAGTAGAGCGGTTCCCTCATGATGCTCCGGACTTTCGCGCAGCATAACGATATACTGTAGTGCGCCATTTGTTCACTATCAATCTCACTTTTATAATACCGCGTGATACCATTTTATAATACGCATGTCACGCTGTCGTATGTCATTCTCCGCTGCGCTTGCATGTCCTGGAACGTGTTTTCATACAAACTATATCACACACCTTGACGGTACATAGAGCTGTGTAACATCCGCGTAAGCTCCATTATTTAATAGTGCTAAGACAACTAAATATTCATATAATATTCAAAATGTTTTCACAATAATTATTCTCTGAATTAACAAGAAGCAACTAGTGAATACATTTCTTAATAAACAAACTAAATGTAATATTTTTATGGATGACTGTTATTATTCTATAGGACTGTAGACGTAATAACAAGTAGGTACTAAACATAGTGTACTGTATACTAAAACACTTCATTTGTTCACAGCTAATAAGTTCGAAAAGAGGTATAGAAATAATCACTTCTTAAGATACTAATTTATTATGACTATAAATATTGAAATGCTAACAGTAATATTATTATAATAATAAAATTAAATGCAATTGCAATCACAACACAAATGTGTATAGCCAATAAAATCACTGTTATTTTATCACAAACATAATCTATGAGATGTAAGATAAGTTTAGGTAAGGCCAGCCCTAAGTCCTTACCACTTATAATGTCTATTTAGTACTGATGATAACTGCTTTTATTACATTTTTTCACTGTAAAAACAATTATTCCGACATGAAAATAATGCACAAGCCCTAATTTACAAAGAAAAACATATAGTCAGTTATATTTACTAAATCTATGGTTATAACTTATAATATTGAAAGAAGATTGAAATTATTTATTTCACAAACGAGTGATTTCTTTTGTAGGATAACATTAATAATTTTAAACAGATTAAAAATATTTCTTGTTAACATTGTTTAATACTACTATTTTGTCACTTTGTACATTTTTTTCAGTCTGACGTGTAATGCAAATAAAGATTTAAGTTCTGAATTTGTTATTTTGTAAAAGGATATATAATTTTAGTCCTAAGAATGATATTACGATATATATAGCGATAGTTATTCTCTCGTATTCTGCTTTGCTATATTCAAGATGCTTTTCGAGTCTACAACACAGTCAGAATCTAACAAGTATAGATTCTGACAAAAATTACTTTAAGTACTTAAATCACCGCTACCACAATATATTCAGTTCAATTTTCAATTTTGACATCACATTATAAACAATAAAACTAACACAATATTTAGGGTTCCGTACCTACCTTAAAGGCAATAACAGACCCCTGTGGTGGGACTGTTCATAGATCACAGAATAAATATCTACACTACAATAAAAGCAACATCCTTTTAGCTATGTAACCATTATTATAATACATTATTGTAAGAATAAAATTAGGTACAGAGCCCTTAACTTTTGTAACAATGATACATCTGTATATATTTCTAAGAATACATCATCAAATTAGGTCGTATTTGAAGTCATGCCAGTCAGCCAGAATTAGGGCACATCGACGAGGCTCCCTGGAGTCCTGACAATGTACACTAACTTGCTTGTGGACGACAGGCTTATATGAATGTAAAAACAGCCTTAGGCATGCCATTACCACACTGGAAAGCGTATTTTATTTGTAGATTTGTTCAGCGTTCACGTCTAGCACGTTTCGCCCGCGCTGTAGCAGATACTGATGTAGTTTGATCGTCGTCGTCGCGCCGCTTGGTCGGTGCGTGTGGCCTCTGCAATTGGCTTTGAGCGGTAAGTTGCAACTGCAATGCATGTGTGTTTAACCTTTCAGCTAGTAGAAGGGGTTTCAAGGCAGCCATCTTATGGCTGTAAAGTGTTACGCGTGGTCTGCTGTTCACAGCAGCTGTCAACTGCTCTCTTACAGTCATTTCGGTGTTATCAGAATTGTTATTCCACTTATCGTTATCGTTATCTTTTGTCTCAGTTTTCTCTCCTTGCGACCCTTTAGGTTTGTCACGGGGTTCGTCAGAGTCAGTGCTGCAAACTATGTTGACTTGTGCCCGTACTTCAGCATCAAATTTAGATATGGTGCTTACAAGGGGTTTAGCCCAACCTATGTGAAGAATCGGCGTTTGACTTCCCTCTTCCCATTTGCAAATTCCATCATAAAATCTGAAAAATAATTAATGCCTTAATTTATCTCTGGTACTGGTACAACTGTACAGGGATACAGATACATTACCTATGTTAATAACAAGAACTCAAAGTTTACCTAAGTAATGACGCAAAACACTCAGGATCTTTCAAAATAGACCGAGCTGAATGCCCAGAACTTTCAGCTTTCATCAATTGTGGAATTGATTCATTGGCAATTTCTGAAAATTCTTTGTAAATTTCTTCATCATCCCGTGAATAGTTATAGCTGAAACAAAAAGAAATGGTTGTCATTTGTGATGTAAAATTTTATCTCTCAAATAGGGAAATTGACCAACTTCTGTCCCGATTTTTCTTCCGATACAATGAAATGATCCTTACAAGAAATTGAGCCTATCAGAATTGAAATGATTTTTGGCAATATTATTCATTTTCACGCTTGACTAAAAAAATTTACCATGTCAAATGTATTCACAAAATAAGACATAAGGGTTTCTGAGACGGTTCCCAGTATCGCCTATGGTTTCGGATCTCCCCATAGTGGCCCAATAAAACTAATCGCTGTAATATGTACATATTCACAATGTAAAATCACATGTGTAAAAAAAAGTACGTAATAAGTATTTCAATTCATTATATGTACAAGAAAAATAAACAAGTCACTGACCCCACCATATACAGTTTAGTGAATTGTACTGTCAACTACAAATAAATTAAATAATGGAATTAATTGATTAATTTAATCAGTTGGAACAACAGTTCTTATTTTATTAACTATTCTTAGATACTTGTTTGATTGTGATTGTCATTACTAATTATTACCAATGGTTCGAAAAAGGTGATCCACATAATACAAGTATCTATATAGATACATGTATAGACATAGTTACGAGGAGCAACATAGAGTTGTTAAACCCACCAAAAATGAATTAATTACTGTTTCGAATTTCGGATTTCCGGAAATGGTTTTGTTGCATCGTAGGACAAAGCTACTGACCTAGGAATTCGAAGTTGGATTTTAAAGTAATTCTAATGGTGCCAAGTAAAAAATGCAGTAGATAACTGACCCTTTACCAAAACAGAGAATAAAAAAAGTAACAGGAGTGGTCACTCTCCCCCCTCCTTCGCATTAGATATTGCATATTGACGGTTACATTGAAGGAACGGCGACATTTGCTAGAAGAATATAAGTAAAAAAAATAATTAAAAAATTTATTTACGAGGGGAATTTTAGGACATTTTAGTTTGCACGAGAATCGTTGTGATCGCGTTCTAAAAATATTTTATTGAAATTCAAAACACAGTATAACAGATGTTCATAAATTCGAATCACTAGCAGAAATGTCGTATATGAAAAGGAAAATATTCGATTAGATTATTTTAATACTTTTTATAAAAAAAACTGCTGGACGCTTAAACATGACAAAAAAGTGCCCTTTTTGAAGGGCTTACCCATGTACGGCTATTTATTTTCATAAATAGAATAAAGAGAGGAGTTTCTTTCATCCGGAAACCCGGAATTCGAAAAAAGTTATAGATTCATATTTGGTAGTTTTAACAACTCTATGTCGCTCCTTGTAGCTATGTCCATACATGTATCTATAAGTGGAACACCCTTTTCGGAACATTGCATATTACTAAACCATGGACCAATAAGTCAAGAGGACTGCTAATGGCGATACAAGACAGCGCTGCGGGTATTTAGTACCTGTTGGATATGTAGTACACCAGATGTCGCGACAAGTACCAAATAGCTATTTTTGTAACTGATTTTTTTCACATTGACAACATAATCAATATCAAATATCAAAGCTTTTGTAATTTCTAGTGATAACAAACAAATCAGCTAGATGGCACTTATTCTATAGATTTTTATAGATAGTGCCGGCTATTCTTTTATTTTGTTTAGGGTTAGCGCACTCTATCCGTAGTACGAAGCGTTAATTTCCAAATTAGTTTGTAACACACAATGCCATCTATTCACAAGCATATTTGTCAAAGCTCAGAAAATTTTAGTTCATGGTCAATAATGGAATATAGCTGATAGAGTTAGTTTTATGTAAGGGTCATTTTATTGTATTGTAAGAAAAAAATCAGGACTGCAATGTTGGTCAAATTTAATAAAAACATTTTTTTCATACAAAATTAATCACATTGTATCAAATTTGACCAACTTGTGCTGACCCGATTTTTTCGTCGCATACAATGAAACCATCCTTATAACAAACGGAGTCTATCAGCATTAACAAAAATAAAAACTTTTATTCACTTTGTATGAATAACATTTCATTAAATTTGACAATTTTCTGTTGTCCCGATTTTTTCGTCTCATACAATGAAATGAACCTCAGTTTCAACAGAGTCCATCATCACTAAAAAAAATTTTGATTAATTTTATTATGGACAACTCCTGTTTGACCAAAAAATTGACTATGCCAAAATTGTTTTCACTAAAAGTCTCACTAATAACGCACACACTCAACATAGCCCCGCACTAGGGAGACCCTGTGTCGCGGGTACCATGGACACACACATAGCCAACCACAAATTACAACTAAACTCACGAGAGAAATAAATGTAGGCCACACAAATATTTCCTCTTCCATACAAATACACTCCCGGCCCAGGAATCGAACATGAGACCTCTTAATACTGTCTCATTTAAAAAAAACACACTGTATAGTGTATTATCTATGGTACTGAATTTCGGCATGCCGCTAGGACATCTAGTGACAGATTTTTGAAAAACCTCACCGCAGCCGATACTTTTACAGGTGGCACAATTGACGCAGATGTCTCTTCAACGTATTAATGAGACTTTTTGTGAAATACCTCGAAATATCTCCACTAGTTTTGTATATTGCTGTGAGAAGATAAACGGCCCGGGAATCGAACCTGAGACCTCGGCGTGGCAGTCCACCATAGTAACCGTTCGACCACGGAGGCAGTTGACTTAATGGTGCATATGACAGTTTCCTTGTAACTTCTACGGTTTCAGATTATACCCATAATGTACCATTAAAAAAAACAGTACTTTATAGAGCTACAAGTTATGAACTTAACTCACTGACAGAAACAGAACATATATACTTCCTTATATGGTGGAAAAAAATACCGTTATACACTAATAGGTCCCGAAGTAAAGGGAAAAATACAAGGTCATCTGAATGTAGAAAATATAAAAGAGTGATCAACGGCCTCCAAAAGCTGTAATATACGGAGGGAACATTTGTGCATTTTTATGAGGTACACCCTGTCTAATTTCCGCCGAAAGAAAAAGATGATCGATATTCAAATAAACAAAAATGCCGTCATACTAATTTCAAAGTCGTTTATCACGGAAACTGTTAGAGATAAGTAGGAGGTGCCGGAAGGAATGATTAGAAAGTAACAGTGGTCAAATGCCTGTACCAAAAAAATTCAAGATGGCGAATTCAAAATGGCAGCCTAAGAAAAACTTGCATCGATCGAGGGCGAATCCCGAAGCGTCCGCACATTACCGAACGTAGGTAGCATATGGAGGCCCTATTACGAATACAAGATCTCACAAGTGTTAAAAATGTACGGCATACTCCCTGATGTAGTGAAAATGAGATATACTTGTAGCGTTGATGTATCTCGACCGTCTCTCTGTTAGATTCCTTTTTCTTGGAAGCTATGGCAGAGAAGTATTTTAGGGAAATATTAAATGCCAGACACAATCACACCAAATTTCTGGTTTGAATGAAATAAGTGAATTTCCTGTACTATGAATACCAGAATAACGATAACTCTCGAGGGCAATACCCAGAATACCCAGACCAGAACCAATTTAGAAATGTTCATTTCCTAAATTGGCCTAAATCGGGAATCGATGCCGGAAACTCTTCATCAAGCGTCCATAGTACTAACTGCTGTGCCACTGAAGAACATAAGCACACCCCGAAATCTAAAACCACCATGCGCCGCAGGCCGAGTCCCGACTTCAGTCCCGAGTTCAACTATAATTGACACTACAACTAGAAGCACTAATGAGAATGATAGTCTGTGAATTAAATAAAAAAATAGTCATTAATATACTTACGAACTTAATACTATTATTTTTTATGAGACA